AATGCTAGGTTGTTAAGCTAATGCTCTGCTGCTAAGCTAATGCTAGGCTAAATCTTGGGATGAGGACTCGTTTAGTCTTTCGTTGTGATGCCGTCAGCTGATTCAGAGGCGTCTTATCTTCTGAAAGACTGACGTCAGAGGGTTGAAGAAACGCCTCCAATTTTAAAACTGATCCTGGTGGTCAATAAGTGTGTGTGTGTGTGTGTGTGTGTGTGTGTGGTGGTGGTGGGGTGGGGGGGGGGTGGGGGTCATGTTTCTTTTATATTTTAAAAGAAAAGTGGAAAAATGTGTTCAAAACACATTTCACTGGTTTGACTGGATAAAGAGTGTAGATAAAAGTTCTACTAAGTGTAAGTATTTATACGTCCACACTCCTACATGTACCAGACCAGCGGGACACTCCGGGTTTCAGGACGGGCCTGTTGGTCTGAGTGTTGGGAGTTGAAACTGGTTCCTCCCACAGCCCAGTTAAGACACAGACTCAAACCCAGACACAAACACGGTACAACGAGGACGACCGCTCGGATACACGTCCTTCATCTGCTCGATGGTCGGCGCCCGGATGATGTCGTTGATCCCGATGATGTTCTCGTGCTTGAAGCGCATGAGGATCTTGATCTCCCTCAGGGTGCGCTGGCAGTAGGTCTGGTGCTCGAAGGGGCTGATCTTTTTGATGGCCACGCGGAGCTTGTTGTCCCGGTCGTACGCCGAGCTGGACAATCAAAACAAAGACCAAACATTCAGATTCATGTCCCAGCAAGCCTCTGAACCATCAAGGTCTGTGGTCCTGCAGGGTTTTTCTGGAACAGAACCGGGAGTGAAGTCAACCTAAATGTTTTTGATGAATTCAGATCAGTTTATTTCTACAGCTCCAAGTCACAACAGAAGTTGTCCGAGGACACCGAACAGAAACCTCCACATGTAAGAATAATAATTTATTAAAGACACTCAGGTGGACGAGTTCATGAACAGAGGGAGGTTGTTCTGCAGAGAGGAGGGAGCAGCCACTTTATCCACCAGGAGGAGCAGAGGAGGAGCGGGGGGGGGACTATACCTTCCAGCAAATTAAACTCTAGAAACCAGTTTCCTCAATGATCAGAGTGAACGTTTACATGTGTATCCTCGACGCAGCCACACACCCAAGTGGAAGATGGTACTGTGATGCTTGTGTCCACTAGGTGGCAGTCACAAGTCTGAATGTATAAAAGTGAAGGACAGAGTTCTGTGAGATCATCCAGATGATTCCGTCAATCATCCAGATGATTCCGTCAATCATCCAGA